GAGTAGCAGGGGAGGGAGAGACAGTTTGGAAGCAGCCAGGAGTTGTCAGACCTGACCCGTTGAGAGCCTGAGCTCTTCAGGCCTGATCAGCTCCAGCATGAGCCGTGAGGCAGGCAAGCAACCATACTTGGGAGGTGCATTTCTGCACCAAGAGAGACCCAACACCAGAGAGTCTACATGGCCACCCATAACCAGTGAGAAGCAGCCCTCATTGGCAAAAGATAAATACTTGCATACAGCTTACTGCATGGATCAAAAACACCCCTCTTAGGGAAAAACCTCTCTCCCATTTACCTCCCCACTCCCTGCTCTGCACTGGGTCCTGGACTGGCTTCAACAATTGCTGAGTCCACGGGCCAGAAGTAGGATCCATCACACGCCCACAGCCATCCTCCCTTCCTTAGAGAGTGAACAAATTAACAAGTGGGGGAAAAAATAAACTGCCAGGTCACCTAAGCCAGGAACCCAGGGTAGGTACAGCTCCTTAGCCTAGGCACAGGCATAAGGGATCCATGGACTTTGAGTGCCTTTCCCCCTCCGTAGACTTGTGTGGGCCCATCTCAACAGCATAGGCTCTCATTACTGCAGTACAACAGAATATATACCGGAACTCTAACTTCAACTGTTTCAGCTATGAAGTGGCAAGTCCTTGACATATGACACTGCTCTGCCCATTAAGCAGGGTCTTCACTTACCCACATCAGGGGCCTGAGGACAGGTGGCTCCACCCACGCCACCTAGCCACCTGCAAGAGGGGTCCATAAAAAAGAGGTGGCCCCAGTCCTTAAAACCAAGAGCATTAGGTGCTCATAGACTGGCTACAAAACCCATCCAACTACGCACTCTAGGGAACAGGGACATGCCTTCCTCCTGGACTAGTCAGGGGCAGCCATCAGCCCCCCAGCCTTGCTCAGAGTGTGTCCCCGTGCTACATCCAGATACCAGTGCCTACAACAGTCACCAACGCCTGTCTAGGACAGTAAGTGAGAGCCTACAACACACACACTTGGAGGCTATCTACCTGGGCACCTGAGCTGAATCCATACAGGATGAGTGGGCAGACTCTTAAGTTCACATACTTAGTAACAGATCTAACAACCTAGTGACAGAACATTAGAGCTTCAAAGGTGCCAATAATCAAACTAGCTCATATGAGCAGCCTATATGGGTATAACAAAACAAAACAAGAAGCTAGGACACAGTAAGCAAACATAAAATAAATAAATATAATAACTTATTGATGGCTTGGGCACAACAGTCAATGTCAAATCACATAAAGGCAATCCATGATGGATTCAGCAATCTCCCAAAATAAAGAATCTAGAAATTTTCCAAAGGAGGAAAATTTCTTGGAATTACCAGAGGCAGAATACAAAAGATTAATATACAGAACTCTTCAAGAAATTAGGAAGGAAATTAAGCAAAACACAGAACATGCAATAGAGGAAATTAAAAAGATTAGAGAAGAGCATAATGACAAATTAAACAGGCTGCAAGAATCCATAGAGAGACAGCAATGAGAAATCCATAAGATTAACAACAAAATTTCAGAATTAGACAACTCAACAGAAAGTCATAGGAGTAATTTTGACTTGTAGGATTGTTAGTTTCCTTTGTGGTTACCTTAATATTTACCCCTATTTTTCCAAGTTTATACCAGTGTTTTATTTCTTTATTTCACCTTGACTTCCTCTCCATTTGAAAAATCTATGTCTACACTTTTTAAGTCCCTCTGTTTTGTTTTAGTGTTGTTGTCTTTTACATATTGACTTATGGTTCCCTATTTTCAGTGTTTTAGCTTTAATTTATTTGTGTGAGTTCACTATCTGGGTTGATATCTGGTTGTTCTGTCCTGTGCTCTAGTCTTGGGTTGTTATCTGATGTTACTAATTTTCTAACCTGAGGCCTCCCTTTAATATTTCTGTAATTTTTTTTTTTTTTTTTTGGTTTTT